GCTGGATGCAGAACTCCAGGTTGGGACTCACCAGAGCAGAGGAGCAGAATCACCTCCTTCAATGTGCTGGCTGCACTTTTGATGCTGCCCAGGATGCAGTTGGCTTTCTGGGCTGCAAGCTACAATGCCATCTCATGTTGAGCTTCTCATCAACCAACATCTAGAGATGATCTAGTCATTTCCTGTGGGTTAACAGGATGTTGAACAGATTGTGAAAGAGCAAAGACCAGAACAAGGAAGAGAATAAAGAGAAATGCTAACAAAGGATGGCTCATAAACAGCGCCTAACGACTCTACTTATTACAGAAGAATCCACCCATCTGGTAGTCGGGTTTTGCAAGAAGACATTGATTGGGCAAAAAGATAGCACTGGTGGACTTAGTGACCTGGAAGACCATCTCATGTTGAGCTTCTCATCAACCAACATCTAGAGATGATCTAGTCATTTCCTGTGGGTTAACAGGATGTTGAACAGATTGTGAAAGAGCAAAGACCAGAACAAGGAAGAGAATAAAGAGAAATGCTAACAAAGGATGGCTCATAAACAGCGCCTAACGACTCTACTTATTACAGAAGAATCCACCCATCTGGTAGTCGGGTTTTGCAAGAAGACATTGATTGGGCAAAAAGATAGCACTGGTGGACTTAGTGACCTGGAAGACCATATAAGCTGAGTGTTGCTTGTAATAAACGATTCTGGTTGCACCTCCGACCAGGGATCCGTGCCTTCATATGCTACACTTTCCCTCAAGGCTTTTCCCAATCCATCCTGTGCCCAGCCTGAACTTATGCTTGGGATTGCTGTAACCCGTGTGCAGTACCTTATACTTGGCCTTGTTGAACTTCATGAGCTTTGCACAGGCCCACCTCTGAAGTCTGTCCAGTCCCTCTGGATGGCATCCCTCCCCTCCAGTGCCACACAGCTTGGTGTCGTCAGCAAAGTTGCTGAGGGTGCACTCAATCCTACTGTCCATGTCACCGACAAAGATGTTAAACAGCACCAGTCCCACTACTGACCCCTGAGGAACCCCACTCAGGGGTGTCTCTCAGTTTGACGAGTTCTTGGAGTTTGATTTAATCATCCTTGAATCCGACAGATTCTTTTAATCAGAGTAAGAATATGTATTCCTGAGCAAAAGTTGAAAAAATGGCGTCTGCTATTAATTCAGCCACACCAGTCTCCTGTAACTTTTTATTCAGGTTGTTTGGAGAGACCTTTTTCTCTCTTCTCCATTAACCACTTATCTTACAGACAAGGAATTTCTCCATGTAAATGATCAATCATGTAGCATTGCTTCAGGCAGTGCAAGTATAACTCAGAAAAGCTGTTTTGAGAGGGAGATATTTATGACACTCTTAATGAGGCAGAGGTTCTTGTCTTCCCTATCTTCCAGGTAGAAATGCATAATAAAAGTTAAAATGTAGATAGTCTCATTAGCCTCCTTTCTTTTGTAAGAAGGTGATATGCATATGGCCTTAGGAAGGAAGAGATCACATCTATAAGTAAACAAAAAGGATAAGCAAGCAGGTAGGCAAAGGTCTAGAGACCAGACCTCAGATAAGGCATGAGAGCAATAGGGAAAAATGGGGTAAGGAGCAATTTTTTTTTTCACAAATTTTCATAATTTTTGTAAAGGAAAAGATCAGTTTGACCAAAGCAGACTTCACCGTTGCAAAATAGAACGGAAGGTCTAAAATTATCTGGAACTGCAGTTCCAGATACAGCCCGTAGCCACAGTTATGATATTCATAGCTACTACTAATACGTACTGCATTCATACGAGACCAAAATCCCATATACAATAAAATATCCTAGACGTTAAACACACTAGGTCTGGCACTGCAGCTTACTGCTGACCCCATCAAAACCAATATATGTACTAGCTAACTAGCAACCTCAGAAAGAAATCCAGTTGAAGTTCAGGTTGATTTGTCACATTCAGAAAATGAAAGGGGAATGAAAAAAAAAAAAAATGGGCACAGAGGAAGCAAATAAATTAGGGCCACTGCCTTCTCTTCCTCTTTTACTCCTTTTTCTTCTCCTATTACCTAGCCTCATCTCTCCTCTTACCAGCAACCAGCCTGAACTTCAGAGGTATAAATGAGGTAACTTCAGAGATACAGCATTCTGCTAAGCATATAAAAAGAAACAGTACCACATGTCCCTTGCCTTGTAACGAATTTCCTCGCTTATTCCAAGAGGTGACCTGACCCTCCATATGATGGCTCAATCCCTGGCACTCCGACATCCCTTGTCCCTCTGGCTTGCTTTCTCCCAGCCAAAACAGAAAGTACTGATGATCATGAAGGAATCGCATTCCCATGAAAGAGAAGTGTTGTGGTGCTGCGTGTGTTTTCTGGGTATCACTGCTGCAATGATTAATCTAGTGGTCACAAAGTAATAAAGATATCAGGTAAATCAAATGAAAAGTTCATACTTCAGATATGAGAACTGTGATAGACTAGTTTCAGCTAGATATTGCTCTTTCTCTAGTTTTTTGTTTGTTTGGTTTGGTGTTTGTTTTTTTTCCAGATTTAATCTTTCCTTTTACCCAAACTTCCCCTTATGCTGAAGTCATGGGGTTTAGTTCACTATTTCTTCAGGTTTTCCAGGGCTTTCATCCTAAAGGCTGGACGTCATCTGTCAGTTGGCACATAGCTTGGAGAAAAAGTGGGTAAAATACAAGGAGAGGAGGTATTCAGGTGAAGAGGGCTAGAAAAGGGATTTAAAAAGGGCAGGAGAAGTGTGGAGAGCGCATCTTTAGGGGATGATAGATGAAGCAGAGGTGGGGAGGAAAATGAGGTGAAAGCATATGGAAATTTTTTTAAGGAAGATGATGAGGGTAGTGAGACACTGGAACAGGTTGCCTAGAGAAGTTGTGGATGCCCCCATCATTGGAAGTGTTCAAGGCCAGGTTGGATGGGGCTTCGAGCAACCTGATCTACTGAAAGGTGTCCCTTCCTATGGCAGAGTTGGTTGGATTAGATGATCTTCAAAGGTCCTGTATAACTCAAACCATTCTATGATTCTATGAAAAATATAAGGGAAGAGAGAATGCTTGTTAGACAGCATACTTTTAAGATGGAGGGTATTTCATCCTGGAGTGTCATGAAGAGGCTAGAGCCTTAGCGCTTGTCATTAAACGTAGTGCCCATGAACAAAGTGTCATTCACTGTGCATGAGATATGTTTGCACGCTTCGACCATCCCCGAACCCAGTTCTCCTGGAGCCACCCTCGTGGTAAAGTAGAAACCCAAGTGATGGAAAATCCTGCTGGGTGTGTAGGGGACCAGCCTAAAGGCTCCAGGTTAATTTGATGACACTGTTGCTTCTGAATGAGCCAGTGCTTTTCCCTGTAGGTGAGTCTGTTGGGGGGTCTCCAGCAGATCACTCTCAGTGTGGAGGTCGGTCTGGAGGCGCACTAATGCATGTCACCATTGCACAGCACAAACTGTGCTGGCACAAGGTGCTGCTCATTTTGAGGTGCTCTCAAGGAAAGTGCTAACTGGTCTTCCAGAGTCCATACCACCAACCTTGGCAGCCACAGGTCCCCTCCGGTGGCCCCAGGGACACTGCAGAGAGTGCAGAAGCAGACACCAACATTTCAGCCTAGAGAAAAGGAAGCTGAGGAGAGACCTTATTGCTCTCTACAACTACCTGAAAGGAGGGTGTAGAGAGGTGGGGGTTGGTCTCTTCTCCCAAGTCACAGGAGACAGGACTAGAGGAAATGGCCTCAAGTTGCACCAGGGGAGGTTCAGGTTGGATATTAGGAAAAATTTTTTCACTGAAAGGGTTATCAAGCATTGGAATGGGCTGCCCAGGGAGGGGGTTGAAGCACCATCCCTGGAGGTGTTCAAAAGACGGGTTGATGTAGTGCTGGGAGGTATGGTTTAGTGATGGTTTTTTTTGTTAGAGTTGGGTTGATGGTTGGCCTAGATGATTTTGATGGTCCCTTCGAACCTAGATGATTCTATGATTCTATGATTTCCATGGCCTTTGGAGAGCAGAGGTTAGCGAGCTCGGTGGGCTCTGCTCTTCAACCAGGGGTACAAATGGCTCTCTCCCCAAGCCCTCTGCGAGGTAGGAGAGGAAACAGCAAGGCACCTACACGGCTCTCGCCGTGGGTGAGCAGGGCGAGGAATCACAGAATCACAGAAACTTCTAGGTTGGAAGGGACCTTAAAGATCATCTTGTCCAACCGTCAACCTAACTGACAAAAATAGACATCCACACAACAAACAAGGAGCATCATCACTAAACCATACCTCCCAGCACTACATCAACCCGTCTTTTGAACACCTCCAGGGATGGTGCTTCAACCACCTCCCTGGGCAGCCCATTCCAATGTCTGATAACCCTTTCAGTGAAAAAAATTTTCCTAATATCCAGCCTGAACCTCCCCTGGTGCAACTTGAGGCCATTTCCTCTTGTCCTGTCGCCTGTGACTTGAGAAAAGAGACCGACCCCCATCTCTCTACACCCTCCTTTCAGGTAGTTGTAGAGAGCAATAAGGTCTCTCCTCAGCTTCCTTTTCTCTAGGCTGAAATGTTGGTGTCTGCTTCTGCACTCTCTGCAGTGTCCCTGGGGCCACCGGAGGGGACCTGTGGCTGCCAAGGTTGGTGGTATGGACTCTGGAAGACCAGTTAGCACTTTCCTTGAGAGGGACAATCACCTCTCGGGCCCTACTCACCACGCTGTTCCTGACACAGGCCAGGATGCTGTTGGCCTTCTTGGCCACCTGGGCACACTGCTGTCAGGACTCAGCCATCATCCGGAGGGTCGGTGACCCCTCAAGCAGGGGCCCTGTTCGGCCCCCCCCCCGCCACCGGCCGGCCCTGCCGTCCCGCGGGGCGGTCTCCGGGTCCCCTCACCGGGCCAGCCCCGGCTCGGCCCTGGGGACACGGCGGGGCGCGTCGCCGCTGGCTCTCGGCCTCACAGGGGGCGGCAGGAGGCGGCGCCGGTCGGCGGAGCGGAGAGGAGCGGGGCGGGGCGAGGCGGTGTCCGCCCGGGGGACGGCAGAGCCGGGCCGGAGCCGCCGCGGGGAGGGAGCCGAGCGGCCGGAGCGGGGGCAGCGCCATGGCCGAGAGATACGACGTGGTGGTGGTCGGGGGCGGCATCTCAGGTGGGTCCGGCGGTCCGGGGCGGGGGGGTCCGGTCAGCGCCGGGGGAGCCCAGCCGGGGCGGGTGGTCGCCGGCTCGGGTCGCCCAGCGCCTCGCACGCCCGCCCGGCTAGCCGGGGGCAGGGAGGCGGCGGTACCGACGGGCGGGCGGACGGACGGAGCATCGCGACGGCGGGAGAGGCTGCGGTGGTGGCCTCCTCCTCGGCCTCAGCGGGTCTCCTCTGGCGAGCCCGAGGTGCCAGTGCATCCCGACCCTCTGGGGGAGGATGGCTGAGCCACCGCCGCACTTCAGCCTCAATGCTACAGTGTGTTATTACCTTTTATTCTATTATCTTTTATTCTATTATTTTTTCTATTCTTTTTCCATCATTTTTTATTCTGTTATTCTTTATTCTATCATTTTTTATTATAATAATTTGAAAATTTTTATTATTTTTCTATTGTTTTTATTATTTTAAATATTATTTTTACTCTTTATTTCATTCTTTATTTCTCCTTTTATCATTTTATTATTTATTTTTTCCGATTCTTCCACTGTCCAACCCCCAGCATCCCCCTAACCTGTGTAATTATCACCAGAGCCCTTGGAAGGAAGTTTTGGGCAGGCAAGGCCATACGCGCTCTCCCTCCTCTTCACCAGGTCTGCCTCCTCTTCACCAGGTTCAGGGGTGTTAGGCGGAGGCCCTCGGTCACGAGTGACTAATTTAAATCCTGTGGTTCCTTTTGCTTAGAGCAGGTAGAATCATAAAGGAAAAATGCCTGAAATCAGCTGGATCATTTAGTCAGTTTCTAGTTCCCCAATCAGCACAGGTATGGATTTGAGAGCACGAGCAGTCTGGCAGACAGGGACAGCAGGCATGGAAACCTTCTTGCACATGAGTGGCAACCTGCTGTTTTTAAAGTAATCCTGGCTAGAAGACTTCTGTGCCTGCCCAGATTGAATCTCAGTCATGCATTTTGTTCTGAGATACTTATGCCAAAAAAATTGTGTATGTGCAGTAGGGTTTTCTTTTTGTTTTTTGTTTTTTTCCCCTGTGCCTTTGATATATCAAACAGTTGCTTTTTGGCCTATTGGTGATGGAGTGTGATGCAGTGTGATAGATCCTGTGCTCTATGTCAGTCTCCTCAGTGCATAAAGAGTGTGCATATATCCACAGATCCAAGTAGTATCTCTTGCCAAATTGCAGACAAATTACTCAAGATGTGTTACAAAACATGATTGTAGTTGTCCTTTTTCTACATGGCTTTTAATTTCCACTATTTATTTATCTATAATTCTAGATGTCTGTTTAAGGTATGCAGCATGCAATTTGAACGATATACAAAATGCAATGAACAAAAGCATTGGCGTTATTTCCTGAGGGTGATTCTTTGATAACAATCTGCTGAATAATTATCGAAAGTTTCAAGTACGATTTTGCAATTGGCAAAAAACCAGCCATCCCTTTTCTACAAAGCGCAATTGATTCTGAACACAATGTTATGGCTAATTTTTAACTTAACCCGTGCTTCACAGTGAAAGTTGATTACAGAAAATTACTCAGTGTTAACTATCTGTTCATGCCTTCTAAACAAAAACGTTTCCAGCAGTGTGTTTTTGTACAGCCAGTAGTGTTACAGGTTCCCAGTGTTGAATGAGTCGGAGTGACAGAGTTAGTGTAACAGCTTCTCATATCCCCTTGTTTTTCGTGGTTGCCATGGGAATATGCTCATGGCAGGCCTGCACAGCCCACATAGGTTTTTCTGAAAGAGCAGTCAAACAGAGCAGCAGTGCTGTGCCATGTTAAATTGTGTGCTCTGCTCTTGGCTACCTGCAGCCAACAGCAAGTTGCAGGGGGGTGTAAGGAACCAGTTTTCTATTTACTCCCTTTTACGCCAGATCTTCACCAAAGCACTCTGGATTCATGCTGTAGCAGCTTTTCTCCTCCCACAAAGGCTGGAAAAATATACATGCACAAAAACTACTAATGACTAAGCACCTCTCTTCAGTCACTTTCCTTTAGCTGCCATGTACCACTCCTGATTGACCTCTGTCTTCTGCCCACACACTTCTCTGTAAATCATTGACCTTGCAGCCAGGTGATCAAACTATGGTTTAATATCTTCTTGCTTGTATTGAAAATCCCTGCTGACCTGCCAAACTGCTGCAGAGGTCTCATCTCCTGTCCACTGGAGAATGAAGTATATGCTTTTTAAAACGGGTTGCTCCTTGGAGACCAGGTTTGTTGTTGCTCTGGATTTGATGTGCATTCCTTCAGAAAGTCACTGGTTTTGAGGCGCAGTCAACTGAGACTCTACTGTTCCTGCCTCTAGGTGAAGAGAGCATCAGTCAGGGCACAGCTGTAAAACAGCAGAAAACTCTCCTAACCTTCAGGTGTGCTTGAGTTAGCCACGACAGCTGTCAGCAAAGCGGGTGATCACAGAAGAAACAGAGTTGCTGTGCCCATCTGAGGATGTGAACAAACACGTTGCAGAGAGCACTGCATACTGTTCATTTGCAGGGCTCTGGCCCTCTGTGGCAGCAGTTCTGCCCATCTTTTTATCCAGATTTAATTAGTAGGGTCAAAAATTTAAAGAGTACAAAACCTGATAATGGAATAACAGTGCAGAGACTTTCACAACCCTGTTCTCCTCTGAAGGGGCCGATGTTTTATCTGAAGATACCAGTTCCTTTGCTGAATCATTTTTAGTGTCCTTCATTGCAGGTTTGTTGAAAAGCAAAGAATAAAACTAAAGAACTGGCTAGTATAATGTTACATAATGAAAATCTACTCAAAATTAATCTTAATTGATTTCTTTCAAGTCTAAAAAATATGGTCTGTGGCTTTGCTGAAAATTTCAGATCACCTCAATACAGCTGATGACAGCAAAGAACTTCAAGGAATAGGAGGGCAGATAGGAGTAGGAGTAGATTCTGTTTCATTGGTAAAACTTCTGCTGAAGTCCTTGAAATTTTTGTGAATGGTGTAGATTATAAAAGAGTATTTTAAAAGAAAATTTCCCAACTTAAAAATGCATATATGAAAATGCTTAGCCGCACACTGTATATATTATGCCTGGAACTAAAGAATATTTATATCAGAATAATAGAAGGTCCTCATAGAGCTGGAACTTGTATCATGACAGGTTCTTCTGTTTGCTCAGAACCTTCTCTTTTGCTTTGAAGGGCTCCTCAAGCACAGGGATGGAAACGACTATGAGAAAACTATGACGTTGTGTCATCAAACTTGCTTATATTCTTAATAGAGACTCTGATGACAGAAATTTTCTTAAATCAAATCTTGGAATCTGTTCAGAGGTTTCATTTAAAAACTTCCTCCACATGTTTTCAAAAGTGCCTTCCTGTCCCTGCTTTCGCCATGGGGACCTCTTTCCTTTTTTTGTTTTCAAGTAAGTTACCAGATTTTATCCTAATGTTATGCCAGTCCTATTTAAGAAAATGCTTCTCTTAAATTTCTTGTGCACAGATTTTACAATCAAAGTGAGGTCAATTGTTTTTATTTTTTTTCCCTGAAAAGTGGAGCCTTTTCTTAGTTATGTTGAATGTTATTTGAAGTATGCTTAGTGTTTTTCTGTTCACAAGCAGCCTGTCATGTTCCTATAAGTTTAGAAGCAAAACCTCCTGCAAGATAAAATATTTCTCTTGAAACATTAGGTTTTAAAAATATTTAGATATCTATTATTGTGGTATTTATTTATGACTGTGCTCTGTACTCTTCTTCTTAAGCCTTGCTTTGCATTTGTATGATGATCTAATACACTGTATAATTACAGTAGCTCTCACTGCCATCTGTTGTGCCAGTTTCATATTACTTAAAAAAACCAAACCAAAACAACAAAAAACCCCAAAACCGGATCAGGTGTTTTGTGGGCTATTATCTGAAGAAGTTCAATCTGTTTTAAAATAGACTGAAACAGAGGAAAAAATTGTTTTTCAAAACCAAACTGGGACATGTTGTAAGAAAAGTATACGTGAGACACGTAACTTCCACTAGTTACTACTTCATTCTTTTTGCTGTCTGGCAGTAATTTACAGTGTCATAGTACTCTTCCTTTGAAAAGATCGTTTGCCAAACAAGACACTATTTTTGGAGAACATTACTAGTCTAGCAGTCCTGTACTAGATACCCATTTGGAGAGGAAAAACCCCAGACCAAAATGAAACATGGGCATGGATGAAATAGCTGTGCATGATGAAATGGAATGGATCCATCCATGGGAGTACTGTGACCCTCTCTGAGGAACGTGACCACCCTCTCTGTGGTGCACTCGGGCAAAGGGAATCTGGGACATTTCCCTGTCAGTTGGCATGAGGAAGCTCTTCATTCACGTTTTCAATCATCTGTATCTGCCATCAGGGAGTTCTTCCATGTATTCAACTGCTCTCATGGCTACTGCGAAGGAGTATGAGGCAGTTGGGTGGAGCCTGCAATTTGTCTTCTAGATTCTTCACAAACAAAACTTGGCAATGCACAGTAAACAGGACAGAAAGCAGCTGCATAATGTTGTGAAATAGTTTGGTAGCCTAGGCAGCAGGGACAGCACTTGTAATTCACTGGCTGATACCTCCTAATTGGTCTGAAAGTTGTTTTGATAAGAAGCTTTCCAGTTTACCTGCAGGAGCCATCTCATCTCCCAAGGCTCAGACTGATGCTTCATTAAGGAAAGCTTTTCCATTAGCTTATTTAACTGTTATAAAAGGGTAGTATTAGGGAAAGTTCATTCCATCTGCTGAGCAAAACGTGAAAAACACCCTGAAAGGGACAAAAAAGGTAAGTTAGGGTGGCAAAGCTTTGGGCAAGGGGTTCCTGGGTAGCTATTATGGAAATAACTGGTAGAGAACCCAAGTTTGTGGGTACCAGTTGATATTAGGGTTACAAACTGTAAAGTCCACAAGGTTTTCTTAGTTGTACTGCTGAATTGCATATTTTTTTGACAAACAAGATGAGACACAGGAGAGGCTGAAAGTTCTTTGTAAGAAAATGCAGTGCATTGTTTACTT